CCCCCCATAAATTTTGCTCTTCCCCTTTCTTCCCCCCTCTCTCTCTCTTTTTTCGTTCTTCAAACCAAATAAAAATGGGGGAAAAAAAATTAAAATTAAAATTAAAGTTAATGGAATTGAAAAATTAATTTTTATTATTATTATTATCATTATTATTATTTCCCAACGTTTGAATTCATTCGAATTTTTTTTTTTTTTTACATTTGGTTACCCTAATTGTTTTTTTTTGTAAATTATTACTTAATATTAAATTAATTATTTAGATTAACGTTGTTGTTGTTGTTGTTGTTGCGTTTGTTGTTGTAGTTGTAGTTGTTCTTCTTCTTTTTCGTCATTTAATAAAAAAATTTTCTTTTTTTATTGGTGTCGAACGATGATGATGATGATGATGGTTTGCATAAAAAATCGTTTCGGTGTCTTTTCTCTTGTTTGTTTGTTTGTTTGTTTTGATTGTTAACACACGCGTGAAAGCGATTTGATTTTTTTTTCCCCATAGAGTTCGATGGAGATATTTTGATTAAAAATAGTTTTTAAAAAAAAAAACCGTTACATAATTAATTTTCGAACGCGGGGGGTGGAAATGGGGGGAGGAAGGGAGAGAAAGAAAAAGAGGACGAGATGGAGGGGAGAGGAGTAATTATTTGGCCAATATTTTTAAAAAAAAATTTTTTTTTGGCATTTTATTAAAAATTTTTGTTTTTTTTTTTTTTTTGCTGCATTTGTGCCAATGTTTGTGTTTAGGAAAAAATAATAATAATAATAATATTTTTAAAACTTTCTTTGTTTGTTTAAAGAGTGAGTGAGAGAGAGAGAGAGAGAGAGATAATAATTAATTGTAATTAAAATATATTTAATGTTAAAGAATCGATGAAAGAAATTTCAAAAAAAAATAAATAAATAAATTTCCGTTAAAAAGGTGGGAAAAAAATAGAAAGAGATGAAAAATTTATTGAAACGATTTGAAAATTTGTTTTTGTAAAAAAAAAAAAGAGAGAGAGAGAGAGAAATAAAAACAAAAAAAACCGGATTTCGGTTTAGAGTCTGTCAAAAGATCGCGATGAGACATTAATGAATTTGAATGAATAATTTTGGCAATGTTTCTCATCCATCCATCCATCCATCCGTCCATACGTTTATCGGGGGGGTAAGGGGGGGTGGGGGACCATAATCCTACCATCCATCCATCCATCCGTCTTTAAATCGTGACGATTTAGGCCTTTAACCGACCATATACTCATCCTAAGGAGAGACAGCTTCATCGGCCCTCCTGGTTTCGAATGAATGAAAACTCTTACGTATTGATTTCGTTTGTTTGTTTGTTTGTTTGTCGCATCTTTTTTCACACGCACTCACGCACTCCTGCCCCCCCCCCCCCAATTAATTTTTCTTTTTTGTTACGAGAATATTAATCGTCGTTATAAATATAGGAGAGGAATAATGAGTTGGTTCGCGTAGTAAAAATGAATTTAATTAATTAATTAAAAAAAAAAAAAAGAGAAATTAGTTAAAATAGTAATGATAATAATGATAATAATAATAATAATGATGATGATGATTAAAAAAAATAAAATCAAGTTTTAACGACTTCCTAAATGTCGAAAAACAGATGAAAAAAAATTAATAAAATTTTTTTTTGTTCCAAATCGTCGTCATCGTCATCATTGTTTTTTTTTTTTTCATTTGTTACGTTGGCACCGCTTGAAAAAAAAAAGAATTTCCAATAATAATGATAATGATTATAACGTTTAAAAAAAAATGATATTTAATTAATAATTTAAATATTTAAAAACGTTTAAAGAAAACCTATTCGGGTACGATGAATCGAAGGTGGAGGGAAGGAGGGTGGGTGGGTGAGTGTGAGGGGTAAGGAGAGGAATTTTATTATTATTATTATTATTTGGCACGGGCTCACATGATAACTAGTTACACGTCTGGTATTTTTATTTTCAATTGATGATGGCAATGCTTTGTTATATTGAAACTCCTTCTTCTTCTTCTTCTTCCTGAAAAACTGACCACATTTAAATGTTAACTCGTTGCTCTTTCCGCGGTTTTCTTTCTTCTTCTGCTTCTACTTCCGGTTTTGTTGTTTTTGATATAAAGGTGGTAAATGAACGCGAGTCTTTGACTACTACTTTTTTTTTATTTTATTCTCGTTCTCTCCAAAATGGCGTCAATCAAATGAATCAATCGATAAAATTTTTTTTTATTAACTTTTCCTTCCTCGTATGCGTAACCGAAAATCGATGATGATGATGATGATGATGATGATGTTAAAAAACTTTTTCCTTATTGTTTATCTCACATACCTCCCCACTTGCTCACTCACTCACTCGCATACAATTTAATCCGTGATGTTAAAAGTAATAATAATAATAATAATAATAATAATTATAATTCAAAGAGTGTGAATGAAGCGGCGAGTTGAATCAGCTCTCGCACCAGGCAGACGACCAATGAAAAAAAAAAAAAAAACTTAAATTCAAAAAGTTACGAACGGAAGTTTGTCCTTTTGCATATAAATTGTTGTATAGAGTTTAACCACCATTGTTGTTTGTTTGTTTGTTTGGAATATGATGTGCATGAACAGGTACATGACGACGACGACGACGATGATGATGATGATGATGATGGGCATAGTGTACGATTATAATTCCTATGTCGATTCTATCTATTTCTTACTAATTAGAAATGGAATCTGCAAGTTATTCATTTAGTAAGAATATACACGAGCTGTGGAATATTGGGCTTAATGCCAATAACATTATTATTATCATCGTCGTCGTCGTCGTCGTCGTTTTTTTTTTGCATACCGTCTTTTGTAACTTGTTTTACATTGAGGTTTTGTTTTTTTTCTCTATGGAAAATTAATTGGAATAAAATTATGATTATGTCTGTTGTTTGTAATGCCGTTACTGTCGAATACTGCGTTGCTTCCCCTTTTTTACCGATAAACTTATGCCACGATAAACTTATCGTCAAGATCTACTTCCACGTTGTTGTTGTTGTCACTTTTGTAATTTTCCTTTTTCTTTTTGTCGATTCGTGTAGGTTTTTTTTTTTTTTTTAAATAAACGTGAAATGAGAACGTTGATTAAAAATAATAATAATAATAATAATAGTAATAAATAAAACATTCTATGAGAGATATTCGTAATATATATATAAAAATGAAAAAGTTTCGGAGTATAAATAAGTGAAAGAAACAAAAAGAAAAAATTTAATTATGCACGTCATCATGTACGAATTCATTTGTGAAAGTAGTGCTTTTTTTTCATAATCATTATTATTATTATTTCGCGTTCGATTTTTCAACGAGATTCAATCACCGAACGGATAGGTGAAAGATAAAAGAACTCATTTCGAAGGGAATAAATGGGAGAAACGGGGAGAGTTTTTATTTTTAGTTATGGGAATCAAAAGCATGAAATCGATTGCTAGGTTTAAAGGTAAGAAAAACTTCAACAAAAGTCCTTAGCATGTAATTAAATACAATTTATTATTATTATTATTATAGCGGTGTGCGAGAGGGAGTGAGTGTGTGCGCGTGCGATCGAGTATATTCGTTTTTTACATCGGGCGAGGGTGTGGCAATTTTTTTTTTTTTTTTTTTTTTTTTTTACAATTCTCAAAAGAAAATGTGAAAGTTAGTTAAATAGAGAAACGTATGGAAGAGAAGAGGAAAAACAAAATGGCGGATCGTCACATGAAAAAATCGTGAAAATCGATCGATCGATCTATCGATTCGTAAGGTTTCCGCGGGTATTTTTTTTTTAAAGGTCGAAGAAAAAAAAAAGGTGTCGAAATCGATAATGTTCATTCATTCGATATATATTTTCGATATCGATTTTATATCGAATGTGTGAGTGTGTGTGTGGAGTTTGTACAAAACGAGTAATCGAGATTGGTTGAAAATTTTTTACGCGTAGGAAGAAGAAGAAGAAACGATTGATCGATCGATCGATCGCCATTGATTGTGCGTGAGTGCGTGCGTGTATGCGATTCGTAATGATTTCTATTAATCAATAAAAAAATAAAATAAAAAACAATTAAATTTAACGGTTTGTTTTTAATTCTCGAATATTCGATCGTTTTTTTTTTTTTTTTTTTTTTTGGCAAGTAGTATCGTCAGGTATTCGAGTTCAAATTTAGGAGTCGAGTCTCTCGTCGTCGTCGTCGTCGTGCTTTCGATCGAAAAATAATAATAATAATAATAATTATTGATGTGGATGATGATGATGATGATGATGATAAAATCAAATGTACGAAATCTGAAATTTAATTTGAAAAAAAAAAAAAAAAAAAATTCATTTTGATGAAATATGTGACATATTTTCGATTAGGTTAGGCTTTTAAAAACACACACACACTCGCGAATAGCATAACAGTACATGTTTTGTTTGTTTGTTGTTTGTTGTTTGTATGGGGATTCACAAAAAAACAAAACAAAACATGAAAAAATTTTATTTTTGTTTTTTTTACAATAAAGACGCGATGAAAGAAAAAAAAATGGAAAAATGACCGAAAGGCATTTTACTTTTTTTTTTTTTTTTTTCCCGTTATGTTTATGTAATAACTTATTTTACTTAAACGTAAAATTATTATTATTATTATCATTTAACGATTTAATTTTATTATTATTATTATTATTAATACACCAAACGACGGTCGATTATAAAAAACAAAAAATTTTGCATCGAATTTTTTTATATGGTAAAAGTTTGGAATTCGTAATTCAAAATGATGGAAATAATTACCTTTTCTTTCCCCCCGTCATCTCGCCCCTCCCCCACTTCTCCCCCTTCCCTCCCCACTAAATAAAAGTTAAAGGTATTATGGAAGGAGAAGGAAGAAAAAAAATAGAATGAAAAAATTAGTTTTTATTTAAGATATTTAATTAATATCAAAAACAATTAGATTTATTATAAAAACAGAGCGGAAACAAGTCATCACGAGAGAGTGAGAGAGATAGAGAGAGAAAATAAATGAGTTAAAAAAAGATGAAAATAATAATAATATTAGTGGTAGGTGGTAGGGAGGGTTAGGGTTCGCGTTTATTTATTAATTTAAAATCAAATAAAATTATCAATGAAAAAGAGAAAGAGAGAGAGAGAGAGAGAAAAAAAAATTATTTAATTTTCATTCATTTTCTTTTTTTTTTTTCCTGTTTTAAAAAAAAAAAAACCGTTATTGGTCGAATGACGTAAGTGTTTGTTTGAGTAATAAATGGGGGGAGGGAGGAGGAGAATACCCCCCCGCGGTTGCTTGCTTGCTTTGAAAAGAAAAAAAAAAAAGGTGCAATAAAAATATAATTTCAAATCGTATCATCATTTTTTTTCGTACACGCACATGCGTATGCATATACAAAATATATGCGTGTATTCTCTCTCTCTCTCTCTCTCTCTTTCTCTCTTTTATTTTCGCCTTTACTTTGTCGTATTTATTCCTTTCCGGATGTAATTCATCACTCTAATTTTTTTCCCTCCCTCCCTCTCTCTCTCTGTCCCCTCTTCATCTTTTTATTTATCGTTATTTTGTTTACGTGCGGTTATTATCATTATCATTATTTATTATTAATTATTATTATCATTTTTCGATTATGGTTTTCCAAACATAAGTTGGAGTTTTTAAAATTCTAATATAATAATCATAATAATCCCACGACGAATCGATTGACAAACGAACATCATCATCATTATTCTCATTATTATTATTAATATGATTATTATTATTATTATCATCATTTGAAAGGTTGTAAATTTATTTATTTCTTTATTTTGTTTTTAGATATTCCCGCACAAGTACCACCTCTCACTCCTGGAACCAATAAAAAAATGACTGAGGCCTTAAAGGCCTCGTTCGCATCTTGGGAAAAGGAACAATTAAAATTAAACATTGTAAAAGGTGAGTTTTTTTTTTTTTTTTTTTAATCGTCTTTGTTTGTTGTTTGTTTGCTTGCTTGCTTGCTTTCTTGCTTGCACGTCGGGGCAAGTTGGGGTTAAATGAAAGAAAAAAAAAAAATTTTTATATTTACAAAACCCGCCGAAACGAATAAAAAATCCATGGACGCGGTGTTCGTTCGTTCGTTCGTTCGGCGTTTGTTTGTTTGTTTGTTTGTTTGTATCCGTTTCTTATCTCTTATTGTCTTTTAGAAAAAGATTTTTTTTTTTTTTTTTCGTGTGACAAAAACGCGAACGTTGTTTGTCGTTTGTTTCGTTCGAGATTTTTTTTCCTCTCCCTATCGTTTCGAAAAAAAAAGGAATTTGACCCAATGAATGATAATTGATGAAAAGTCTTTTTTTTCCCCCTCTGTCCCCTCTCTCGCAAACGGTCCTTCAAAAGGAGGGGGGGGAAACATTTGAAGAAAGTAATTATAAAAAGAAAAGTAACGAGAGAAAAGTTTTTGATTCTTCCATGGCAACGATAAAAGAAGACTAGGTAGATAGTAGGTGAGGATGGTGGTGGTGTTGGGGTTGGGGGGTTGATGAAAAAAGTGCAAGACAAAAGGCAAACCCATTATAATTGTTACCGCAATCCCTTTTCGATATCTTCTTTGACTACTGCTTTGATCTTTTGATTGACTCTTTACATCCCTCTCTCTCTCATTCTCTCTTTCTCTCTTTCTAATCTTTTTGTCCAGTCAAGTGAATTAAGGATGAAGAATAGGAAGAAGAAGAAGAAGAAGAAGAAAAATCGATTTGAGTAATTTTTTTAGAAACGTTTCGAATATGTATAAACTTCCTCCTGTTTTCGAAAATCTGACCGAATCAACCCTTTTAAGGTATTAATTCGATTCTCTTACACTTCCCTCCTCCTCCCCCCTCGTCGCCATATTATATATTACTATTATTATTATTATTAAATGTTTAACTGCGAGTTTGTCGTTATTGAGATGCAAAAATCCAAGCGAATAAAATATTTTGGGCGCGAAAAAAAAAAAAATTTAAATTTCCAAAACAGAGAGAGAGAGAGAGAGAGAGAGAGTGTGTGGGTGGATGTGTGTGAGAGAGAGAGGAAAAGATTTTTACAAGTTTTTAAATTAATAAAAATTGTTAAAAGGGTTTTTCATTAGTAAAACTTTTTCTCTCTCTCTCTCTCTCTCTTTTTCGATTTTTAACCGATAATTTTCCCTTTTACATAAATTTTCTTTTTTTTTCTTCCACATTTACGAAAAGAATCCATTTAGCAGGGGAAAAAAAAAAAAATGGCAACGAGTCGATTTTTTAAAGGGGGGTTTTTTTCCCCGGGTCGGGGAGGTGGGGAGAGGGAAATAGCGAGAGTAAATAAATTTAACGTTTATGCCCTTTCGTCATTTAATAAAAATACTAATATTTAACTGATTTGTGAGTAAACAATAATTCTATCGACGGGCAAACAAGGAATACTAGAAAGTTTACCCGTGTAAACAAAATGATCGCTCTTTAATAATATGCCGCCGCCATGTTTGTGTTAGCATAGTAAAAAAAAAAAGAGAGAAAAAAAAAAAAAACAGGTCTTGGTTGGATTTTTTCCTCTTTTTGTCACTTGAAATCTTTTTTTTTCTTCTTTTTTTTAAAAAAAAAAATTTAATTAGTTCGGTAAGTTGTATTATGTATAGTTTTCATAAATTTTTTTTGCATCGAAGCGAAAAATTATTTAAAAAAAAAAAAAGGAACATTACTCAACCGTGTTTTCCATCTCTCTCTCTCTCTCTCTCTTTTCGCGTTACGTAATCGAGGTCTTCTTCATCATTTGCAAATATTTAACCGTATGATTTTTTTTTTTTATTAACAAATTCTAATAAATAAACGTTTTATGTACACGTAAAGAGAGAGAGAGAAAGCAAAGTTACATCGAATAACAATAGAGAGAGAGAGAGAGAGATGACTTTACGTCGTGTCCCACATATTGAGCACAATATATATACTAATCGACTAATCGACCGTTCGTGGTTTTTTATTATTATTATTATTATTTCAGATCCAAAGCAATGGACCGAAACGCACGTCGCTCATTGGCTCTGCTGGGCCATCAGAGAATTTTCATTGGAAGGAGTGTCGATACAACAATTTTACATGAAAGGAAAAGATATTTGCGCCATGGGAAAAGAAAATTTCTTAGCGAGAGCTCCCCCATTCACCGGTGATATCTTATGGGAACATTTGGAAATTTTACAAAAAGGTAAGTTGAAAAGAGGGAGAGAGGGGAGAGGCGGGAGGGGGAAGGGCACAAGTTAAAGGAGGAGTCTCCTCCTCAGAAATCGACATAAATATTATTTTAGCAAAAAATTGCTTTTGTTTTGTTTGTTTTTAACGTACTTTCTCTCTTTAAACGCTTTCAAAAAGAAAAGAAAAGAAACAATTGTAAAATAAAGGATAACCTATTTTTTTTTTTTTTTATTTGAATTGTCAATGAAAATTAAAAGTATTTATTCGTGTCAGAAGAAAAAAAAAACCTGTGACATACATTATTATTATTATTATTATTCGGTTAGTTAGAATCAAAGGAAGTAAAATAATAATAATAACGGGATAATATAAATTTAACCTTTTAATTTGATCTCTCTCTCTCTCTTTTTGCTCTTAAGGTTACGTAAAAAAGAAGACGGTGAGAGAGATAGAGAGAGAGAGAGAGAGATAAAGAGAAAGAGAAAGAGAGAGAGATGGAGAGAAAGAGAGAGAGAGAGATGGAGAGATGGAGAGAAAGAGAGAGAGAGAGATGGAGAGATGGAGAGAAAGAGAGAGAGAGAGAGAGTTTTGCGTTGTAGTTTTCGGTTCGATTCGTTTGTTTTGTCTTAAATAAATTTTATTTTTTTTTGGGGGGGGGGGGAAATGCAAATTCAAAATGGAGTCAAATCAGGGAAAAAAGTTCAAATTTTTTTTTTTTTTTTTTTTATTTAACGACCCGGTCTGTTAGTAATAAACAAATGAAATTGACTTGGCAGATCTCGGTTTTTTTAAAAAATGTAAATTTTATTCATTATTATTATGACCCCCGAGGAAATGTTCGATATTAATGGACATACAAAAACCATTGTTCTAAACGGTAGCTAGAAATTATTGCGCTTAGCCAGGCTAATAAAAAAAAAAAAAAAAACTCCCATTGCTCCTCCCTCCCTCTCTCCCCAGCCCCCTGCCTCCCTGCCTGCCCATCTTCCTCTCTCTTCCCTCCATTTCGATATATTTCAGGTTCTCTCTCTCACTCTCTCATTCTCTTCTCAGGTTTATTTATTATTAAATATTTCCACTGACATCATCGGTTCAGCGATTTTCGTTTTTTTTTTTTTTTTGTTCTCCCCGTTGTTTGTTTGAGTTTTATTAACCATCCATCCGACTATTTAAAAAAAAAAATTTTATATATACACCGACGACGACGACTTCATTCAAAATAGAAAGAAGTCACTGACCCGAGAAAGTTATGATATTCGATATGAAACTCCACCAACAACAACAACAACCAAAGATAGATAGATAGGAGAAGGAAGAGGGGGAGGAGGGGGAGGGAAGGAGAAGGTTCAATGGCTGAACAGAAATTAATTCCAAAAGAAAAAAAAAAAAAGTTGTTAAACTTTTATCATTATTATCATTATTATTATTTATTTATTTATTTTTAATAATAAATAATTTCATTTCCTTTATTTAATTTATTTATTTTAATTAATTAATAATTTTTGTTTGTTGTTGTTGTAACGTTTTACCTTAATAATCCAGACAAGGCAAACGAGTTTTCTTTGGTTGTTGTTCCATATTGTTTTCTCTCTCTCTCTCTCTTATTTTGTTTTACATACTCATTATCTTATATTATTCTATTTAAAAAAAAAGTTCAAAACAACTGTTTGTTATTTTTTAATTGTTTTCATTTTTTTTATTGTTTTTTTTTTTTTGTTTTTACAATTGTAGAAGTGGATCGAGAAAGAGATAGAAATCATCCCGTCGATCATCCCGTTAATCCCGGTCATGTTTACGAATCCGTTTGCGTACCTGATTTAAACGATCTTTTGAGTAATTATCAGGGAGGACACGATGAAAAATCTCATAAGACATCATCGTCAAGTGGAACTTTATCGCCTGGAAATCATTCATCGCAATATTCTCTATCCGATGGTAAGTTTCTTTTTGTTTGTTTGTTTGTTTGTTTGTTTGTTCTTTCTTTCATTTTCGACATCGACGGGAAAAACAAAAAAAAAATTCATTCAACCCCGTTTTATATACGCCCTTAGAGGTGCGCGCGTGCGTGAGTGCGTGTAGGGGTGTGCGTGACAGTGGAGTGCATTAAGGAAAAGGAAAAAAAAAAATTTATTTTAGCACCTTTTATTTAAAAAAAAAATTATTTTATTATTATTATTATTATTATTACTACTACCTGTCGCACGAGAGAGTGAGTGAGAGAGAGAAAGGAAGGAAAAGAAAGGGGAAAATTTTATTATTATCATTATTATTTATTAGTTTTTGTAAATTGAATTTAAATTGTTTTGGAAAAAAAAAAAAAAAATTAATTGGGATTTGTTTGTTTGTTTGTTTGTTTGTTTTTGTTTGTGCAAATTTTTTTAATGACGTTCGAATTGCACAATGTTTCACAATGTTGTTGACGTTATGTTTTTTTTGTTTTGCGCTATCATAATAATAATAATTATTATTATTATTTATTACCCTTCGAGTATCAAACAAGCAAAGGTAGAAAGAAAATTTTTATAAGAAAGTTCAAAAAACAATTAGCCCATTATTCATTTCGTATATACGCAGTTTTTTTTTTTTTAAGAAAACAGGAAATAGTAATAATAATAATGATGATGATGATGATGATGATGATAACAATAGGTAAATTTGCGTTTGTGTTTACACTTGACCTGGCGATTTTTTTTTTTTTTATATGTCAAACTTTCTCTTTTTTAGTTCGATTAATTAATTTTTCTCTCTCTCTCTCTCTCTCTCTCTCTCTTTCTTTCTTTTATTTATTTATTTAATATTTAATTTATTAATTAATGTAAGAAGTTTTTTTTTTTTCGGGTTATGTAATAAAAATTCACGGTAACGTGCTTTTATTTATTATAATCGTTGCGGGTTGTTGTTATTATTATTATTATTTTGCACTGTTGTTGTTTGTTGTTGTGGTTGTTGTCGAAATCGCTAATGAAAATTGAAATTCAACTGAGCGTACCCAAAAAAAAAAAATTTTTTTTTTTATGGATTGTTCACTGATATAAATCCAACATAAAACGAAAACAAAACAATGTATTCCATGTCACGGATGGACCACATTTAGGTGCGTGTGTTGTTGTTTGTTGTTGTTGGTAAACCATTGTCGAATTTATAATTTTCTTTGTTAATTTAAAAAAAAAAAAAAAAAATCGAAGGCGCAATAAAATGGCAAACGAAGTAAAAAAAACAAAAACAAAAAAAAAAAAGTTGTTTTATGATGATGATGATGATGATTTAAAAATTAAATTTGTTTGTTTGTTCGTTTGTTTGTTGGAATAACTATAATTATGTAATTAGATGAGAAAATTTATTTTTGAGGTTTTTATATGAAAAAAATTTTTGTTTTTAATGTTATTTTTCGATCGAATGGTGAGTTTGTTTGTTTGTTTGTTTGTTTGTTTTCATTCTGATTTACGGATGCGCGAAAAATTGTGCAAGTAGAAATGACGATGATGACGTCAATGACGACTACGAGGACTCACATGGTAGAACACACGAGGGAAAATTACATAATTAAATATATTATTACGTCACTAATAATAATAAGAAGAAGTTCTAGTTATTCATTCTACCAAGTCGAACGTTTGTGCAAATTTAAAAAATTGAATATACTAACGTTAAGGTTTTTAAAAAGAAAAATGGCGGGAAAAAATAAAACGCATCTGGTTAAAAAATTTGGGTGTGGCATTAGGAAATCATCTTTTTTTCTCAAACGGTTTTGAATTTTAGCGACAAAAGTTTTAAAAAAAACAAACATTACTGCGACAAAGACAAAGACGACGACAAAAAAGTAAAAAAATAAATTTATTTATTTATTTATTTTATTTTTTTATTACTCTACGACTGGCGGACTGGATTTTTATGTAGTTTTGATTGAAAAGTTTGTTTGTTTGTTTCCCATTTCCCCCCCCCAATATCCCCCCTTCTCTCCTCCTCGTTTGTTAATATTTTGATGGGAAAGAGTAAAAAATTTGTCGCCGTGGTTTTAGACTACGAAAATGTAATTTTCTTTTTGTCTCTCCTCCCATTTAAACTCTTATTATTATTATTATTATAATGTCGCGTTGTTTGTTATAACAAACAATCATCACATGACGACGACAAACAAACGTTTTTTTTTTTTTTATTAAGTGTGGATTAATTGCGACAATCGTTTTCGACAGCATCAGCATTTTTTTTTTTTTTTGTATTTTCTTAAAGGAGGATCGTGCCCGAAGTAAAAAAAAACACCTGGTGGGTTAGAGAGAGAAAGAGAGAGAGAGAGAGAGATTTTTATCCATCGTTCACAAAAGATGAACGAAACTTCCTGCATTAAACAAAAGACTATTTAAAAAAAAAAAAAAAAAAAAAGAAAAAAAAGAAAATGGCGTTTTAGACCCGCGATATAGCAAGTTTCGAATTACAACGTGTCACGCGACAATTGCCATTTTTTTTTTTTTTTTCTTTTCTTTTTCTTCCCCATACTGAGAGTAAGGGAGAGAGAGAGAGAGAAAGAAAATGAGGAGGATGTACCGATTTCCGGTTTTGGGTAGTTTTTATTTTCTGCATTTATACGTGTATTAAATTTTTTTTTTTTTTTATTTGATTATTGCTTTTCATTCCTTCTTCTTCGACATATATTTTCGAGGGGAGGGGAGGGTAGGGGAGGAACAAAAGGATGTTATACGATCTTTAAATTAAAAAAAAAAAAAATCAAAACGCACGAGCCATTATTATTATTATTATTATTATTGATAATATTTAATGATAAGTTTGACGAATAAATTGTTGAAAGAATGAAAATGTTTAGCAGACGACGCGTTCGTATATAATAATGGTTTTGTTTTAATGGAAAATTATTGTTAATTTTATGTTGGTAGATGAGTAGTAGATGAGTAGTAGATGGGTAGTAGTAGTAGCAGTAGACGTTAAAGACTCTTTTATTGGCACATCACGTAATTTCTCGAGTAGGGATACACCATTTATAGAAAAACTTAATGGAGGACGAGGAGGAGAAGGAGCGGGAGGAAGTGGAGTCATCAGAGTAGTCTTTATTACTTCCGATTTCTCCGAAACTTTTTTTTTACTCCTCCTTCTCCTTCTCCCTCTCTCTCTCTATCTCTCTCTCTCTCTTTCTATCGATTATTCAAAAAGTAATTCAAATTAGAATTTAATTTTTAATTGGGAAATTTTATTTAAAAAAAAAAAAAAAAAAAATTGGAAAAAAATATTTTGCAAGAATTTCACCCATTTCCGTTAAATTTAAAAAAAGCAAGTCATGATTTTATTATACATTAGCAATTCGAAAGTTTGTTTTTTTTTTTTTTTTCTGCTAAAAAGTGAATAATTTGTTTTTTTTTTTTTTTTTTATCGAATAAATTTTTTTAAAAATGTTAATAATGATGATAATAATGATGGGGATTTTTTTTAAAAATCTCGGTGGATTTCTCGAACGCGATTGGTTCGATTTTTCAACCGTTTATTATAAAATAAAACGTACGCACACACACAAAAAATATTTATGCGTTTGTTAATAATAATAATAATAATAATAGTTAGGGAAATTTCTGAAGGAGAGAGAGAGAGAGAGAGATAGAGAATATGAGAAGAAAAAAAAAGGTTGGTTTTAATTTAAATAAAAAAAAAAAGAAAGAAACAGCCGTCAGTAGGAGGCGTTTTGCTGAAAACTAGGAAGACCGGTTCCTTCTTTTATTAAACTTCCGGTGAATAAGAAAAAGAAAATAAAAGAAAAGAAAATGTCGTCATTGAATTTAAGTAACCTGAAAATGTTGCCCAGATGTTACGTTGTTGGTTGGCTGACTGGATAAAATCCCCGTTTGGTAGGGATATTTGTTTTTGGAGGGAAATTTTTTTTTTTTTTTGAAATTTAATAAGAAAATCGAGGGTTGTTTACGTTGTTTTCTTTGTTTATAATTATTTCTTATGCCACGATCGTAAATATCATTTATTATTTACGATTTCGCGTAATTAATTAATTAATTAAATTACTCATTATTATTATTATTATTATTATTATTATTATTATTATTATTATTATTATTATTATTATTATTATTATTATTATTATTATTATTATTATAATACATGCAACGCTACCATGCACACACGCACACACGCACACGCACAATTTAATAAATATTACGCATAATGAAACGTTTTAATTGTAAAAATAATGAGATCGACGTCAAAAAAAAAGAATTTCACAGATTCACGTGATTGTCGGCCATTTTTTTTTTTTTGTTTTTCGTTGACCTTCTCGAATGCTTTATAAGAGAAAAGTATTATTATTATTATTTTTCATATTTAATAGTTATAAGTTTTTCATAAATGGAATATTATTGACGTAGAAAAAAAAAAAATTTGAAATTGCGCGATAACGCCCTGTTTTTTTTTTTTTTTTACGCGAAAGCTTTATTATTATTATTATTATTGTGGTATAAAAAGTGGTGGGGATAAGGAGGAGGAGGAGGAGGCAGGGCCATAGAGGTAGAAGTAGGAAAAAAAAAAAAAAAAACGAATTTTTTAGTTGGAGAGGGGATGCGTCACACATTTGAGTCTTCCTTGATCTTTTCATGTCTGTCGAGTGGGGATCAGTCGTTTGCGCGAACCTCGTTGGTGTAGTACATGAGACCCGTTTGTTTGTAATAAAAAGTTTTTTTTTTTTTTCTCTTTTCTTTTTTGTTTTCTTGGTTTTTTTTTTTTTTTTTTTTTGTTTGTGCGGAATTCTTAGTATTATTATCGTGAAGAAAAAGTGTAATTAAAGAAAAATACGAAAACGTTCGAATGTCGTCGTCGTCGTCGTCGTTTATTACTTAGAAAAAGATAGATAGATAGAAAAAATGTGGTGTTCACGTTGATGAAACAATTGTTTATTAAACGTGTTTATTTAATTAAAACATGGTATTACACATGGTGGACTTGGTGAATTCAAATGACGTTTTGTACGAGGATTGCCCATCAAACGGCGGATCATTTACAAGTTTAGAGGATTTTAACATGAGCGGTTGCGTTAACACGGCCATGATTCCCGGTGGGTGAGATTTTCCCTTTAAAAAATTAAATAAAAATAAAAATGGAGTAAATGTTGTTGTTGTATTGCGACAATATATTCGTAATGTTTACATATATATTTATATGTACGAGGATGAAAGTGAATAATAAATGTGTTATGTGTGTTATATGCCGCTTGAGTTGGTTCTTTCTCAACCGTGCCGTTTTAAAAAAAAAAAATTTTTTTTTTTTTTTTTAAATTTACGTAATTTTTAATGAAAAACAAAAAAAAAAAAACGAACGGCCTTAGCCAAACGAAACGAAACAAAATGAAATAAAAAAAAAACTTTTACCCGTAGGCGATTCAATAAAAAAAAAAAAAAAAAAAAGTTCATTGTTTTGTTTTACTTATTATTATTATTTTTTTAATTTTAATCGAATCTCTGAAATTACGTTCATCCTCAATTAAATTTTTTAAAAAAAGTTTTTTACGCGCGCTTATTTTTTTATTCTCTATGATCGTAAACTAATCACCCCCCGCCTTCACCCGTTTGTTCCGGTTTCCATAGATGAAAAAAATACGATGTCGTTATATTTGAATGAATGAATGAGGGAAAATTAATTTTTTAAAAAATTTCAAAGTTGGTATACGTCGTGAAATTAATGACACGACAAATAGATAGATAATAAAGTTTATTTACTCTATGAATTCCGGAAAGGAATGTAAAGGGGATGGAGAGGTGAGTGAGTGAATGAGTGAGAGGAAGTAAGGAAGAAAGGAGGAAAGGTAGGAGAGAGAGGGAGAGGGTTTTATAATTTCTTTTTCAAACGTTTGTTTATTTTCTTCCCCCCGCCCCTGCCCGCCCGCCTCCAATGTTGCCACCCTAATAAAAAGGGAGGGAAAAAAAAAGAAATTTTCTTTTTTGTAAACACACACACACACTCGGTATACGCGTAAAAAAGTTTTTTGTCGTAAAAGCTTTTACGTTTATTTATTTCATTAAGTTTTTATAAATTGGAGCGCGTAAAAGTCAATCAAAAAGCTAAAAAATTTTTTAAATCACAAATTTATTCCGTTAATTAATAATTTAAAATAAATAATAATAATAATAATGTAAATAATAATAATAATGAAATTTTTCGTTTCATCATCATTCTTTACATTGGCATTAGTTTTTCTCTCTCTCTCTCTCTTTCACCTTAATAACAAGTCAAAATTTATTTCATAAGTTTTTGTGAGAAAGAGAAAGAGAGAAAATGAAGAAAGCGGAAACGGAAATCGGTAAAAGAGGGAGGGAAAAACAGAGAGAGAGAGAGAGAGAGAAAATCATATATTTTTTGCATAATGCGTGAAAATTTTTTTTTTTATTATTTTATCCGTCGGCAAATACGTTTAAATTTTTATTTTTTTTCAAATCGTTTTGAGACGTCTTCTGCTTCTTATTATTATTATTATCATGAATAACGCAAACATGGTGTGTGTGCGTGCGTGTGCTTTTCAACAAGTCCGTCGTATGACTGAAATACAAATAAGCAAAAAAAAAAAAAAACTCGTTTGCTGAATTCCTCTTTACACGTTTTTCCTCAATTAAATTTATTATCATTTTTTTTTATTTTATTTAATGTCGTAGGCACGTTGGGGGGGGCATGATAGTGCGAATGGGTAATAATAATAATAATAATAATATTTTTTTTCAAAGCACACAAGGAAATAAAACGAATTGCTGTTGTTGTTTACATTTCCTGTTGCTTTGCTCCATCTTTTTTTTTTAAAAAAAAAAAAAGGCAAAAATTCGTTCGTTTTTTCAGCCCCCCGCACCCCCCACGCATCCTCCCCCCGGCTTACATATAGTTTTTTAAAAAAAATTTATATTGAATTTATCGTAACAATCTCGATTCAAAAATTGTTTGTTCGTTTGTTTGTTTGTTAGTTTTCCTACATTGACCCTTGGAAAATTAACTTAAACCTTTTTCCCATTAAATTAGATTTTCCATTATGACAATTCGTTTTATTTTTCCAACACTCGATTTAACTAAATTTTCTTTTTTTTTTTCGAAAAGAGGTAGAGAGAGAGAGAGAAAAAAGAGAGAGAAGTCGAAGGGAAATTTATACATTATTTTAAATGTCTTTGACATGTCCGAGAGTCTAATTACACGAATCTAAGTAATTTATTATTATTATTATTATTATCGTGGTAAATTTTTTAACTGCCTAAACGACGCCATTTTTTTTTTTTTTTAACTTTTTTTTTTAATGATTCTCACTAATTTTAAATTTTTGTCTCTCTCTCTCGGAAAAGAGGACCGATTAAAATTACAATTACCTTTATAACGCGTACATAGATTTTTTTTTCTATTTCACGTAAAATGCCAAAAAAAAAATGATGATGATAATAATAATAATAATAATAATAAAATTTTGAATTATTATGATTATTATTATTATTATTTTTAATGAGTTAAAATTTTTTATCATTATTACTGGAGGAAGGGGAAGGGAAAAGGGAAAGGTGGTGGGAAATCACGCAAACATTCAATCAAAATTTTCCTTTAAAAAAAAAAAAAAAAAGAAAAAAATTATTTTAAATTTTGAATTTAATAATGATTGTAACGGTTTTTTCTCTCTCTCTCTTTTCGACCAATCGTCGAACCTTTTCTGTCTTTTTTTTTTTTGCGCATGCGCGACATTATTAAAATAACGGCGAAATTGTGAGATGATATTCGGCGGGAAAACTATTTTCAGATGCGTCCTATATAAAAATAATTATCATCATCATCATTATTATTATTATTATTAGTACAAAATTGAATATTTGGCCTTAATAAGCAGAAGAGAAAAATTTTTTTTTAATAAAATTATTTTATAGTAGATAACCTTGGCGGGTAGTTATTACATGGCAGCTGCCCACGCAGTACGCTTTGCAACACGTTCTATTTATTTCGCACCTGTTGTTTTTTTTTTTTTTTTTTATCCCCTTCTTCTAAAGTTTTGCTTTTTCTTTTAGGATGATGGCTAAAGGTGTGTGCGTGTGCGTGTGCGTGTTGTTTTAAAAATCACTTTTAGAAAGCTCTTTATTATTATTATTAATAATCATCATCATTATTAAGGCTTTTATTTTAAACACACACACACGGGGCGAGTATTAGAGATTTTAAACCTGACGTTATATGAATTGAAATTCTTAAGGAAAGAGAGAGAGAGAGAGGGGGGGGGGAGAAAGGGAGAGAAAGAGAGAGAGAATGAAATGAATGTGCCGAAGAGAAAGCTTTGACACTTTCATTACTTAAATAATGACAGGAAGTTCCTTTAAACTTATATATATATAAATAAATATCAAGCGAAACATGATTTTAAATTCATCATCATCATCATCATCATCATCATCATCATCATTATTATTATTATTATTATTATTATTATTATTATTTAAAAACGTGTAAACGTACTTTCTAACAATGTTGGGGCTTTTACGAGTTTTGATTTTTTTTTTCTCTCTCTCTCTCTCTTCCTCTTCGAGTAGAAATATTTTATATATATATATGTAAAAGTATGTATTTGATTTTGCTGTCGGGTAAAAAAAAAACAAATTAAAATGGCAATTTACCACTTATTATTATTATTATTACTATTATTATTATTAATATTTTATTTTTTTTTTTTTTACAAAAAAAAAAAAAATTTTTTTGTAAAACCGATTTCAATAAGAAACTGTAAAAATATTTAACGGGAACACAAAGGAAAGACAAAGTGCATTAACCTCAAACATTGTTTACGCGCCATAAGTTAAACATTGACCGGAAGTTGAAAAAAAAAAAAAAAAAAAAATTAAAAAGCACACAAAAGAATTAGGCTGATTGTAATTGGGTTGCGCATAAAATAAAATTAAAAAAAAAGTGAGAGAGAGAGAGAGTGGGGGGAGAGGAAGGGAGAAGGGAGAAAGAAAATGTAGTATAAGTACATTTTATTTAAAAAAATTCGAAAAAAATGCGTAATTTTTTTTTTTTTAGAGTGATAAGCGGCCAATAACATTCGCTCCCCGATAAACAAAAAAACATAAAATTACCGAAAACGAATTTTTTTTTTTAATTTCGGAAGGCGGTGCTTGTGGAAAAGGCGCTTTATTGGTGACACGTTCGACGTTTTTCCTTTTTTTTTTTCGCTTTTGGAAAATAAAACCTTACGCACGCACGCACGCACCTTTTTTTTGATATTTACGCATGTTTTTATATGAATGATAAGGTTATCAAGTTTACGAAGAGGGGAGGGGGGAAGGGGAAAACGAAAGGTAGAGTGTAAGAAAAGGTTGTTGAAAACGGCGACCATCGTCACCGTGTGTTTTCGATCTGATAAGAATTTTTCCCTTCCTACTCCACCTTCACCCCTCCGCCCCCTCCCATTTCTCCCCTCCCTCCAAAACGTCATTATCAAAATCAATTCATCGAAATGCGTTATATATATATAAAAGGAGATAGAAGATAATCGTGCAAAGTATATTGAAGTTGAAAGAGTCAAATTATTATTATTATTATTGTTGTTGTTGTTGTTGTTGTTCCGTCGACTTTCAGACGTACGAGAAAAAAAAAAAAAAAACATGCTGTGGGCACACATAATGCAGGTGTCTCGCCATCGCACCTGTCGGCATCCTTACTATATACTAACGGCATTCGGCCACGATATATATATATAATTCGTACAGATGTTTTTCTTTCGTTCATTTTTTTTTATTTTATTCCGAATTAAATTTTTTATTTGAAATAACGATTATTGCTTTCGACGACGAGAGGGCGGTTTTCAAAAAAAAAGCACGTGTCAGCAACGATTCCCACGTGGGAGGAAGAAGGAAAAGGGGAAAAATTCCGTTGCGCAAATTTTTTATATTTTTTTTCTCTCATAAACATTTACCACAGCAAATTTATTTACCCGCAATTTATTATTATTATTATTATTATTATTTTGATGCGGTTTTAATTTTTTAAATGACGTAGTTGAGCCTACCGCTTGGTCCCGATAAGCTCGGTTTTTTGTATGTGCGTGTGCGTGTGCGTGTGAACGATAAGAATTTTTTTTTTTTTTATTTTGACGTCTTATCATTTTCTCTTGTGAAAAAAATGTTTTCGACTCATTATTCGTTACTGATTACACGACGGATTGGATTTTTTAAATTTTCCGTTAAAAAAAAAGGAAATAAATCGATTTGAGAGAGAGAGAGAAGACGAGTCGTTATAAAAAAAAAAAATTACAAATTCAGGACGCGGGGCGGGCGGGGAGGGGAAAACCTGGAATAAAAAAAGTCCAGACATGGTATAAAAAACCCGATAAATCCGATATATAGAAAACGGAAATTATTTCACGGATCGAATTCAGGTAGTGCGTGTGATAATAATAATGATGATTTTTATTATTATACCTATATCGTCGAACCTGATAATTTTCTTTTATTATTTAACAACAACAGAAAATTTTCTCTCGTCGTATTAATTTGCGACATCCTGAAATTCGATCTTGTTTTTCTTCCCGTCCCCTTCCCCACCTCTTTCGATCGCAATCCACGTGCCCCCCCCCCTATTAATCATCATTATTATTATTATTTTCGAACGAAATTTCATTTGAGAGATTTTAACGTAAGCGTTAATAATTCCTAGTAGAATTTTTTAACGTTAGATATAATTGATTTAATAACAT